ATGGAGTCAATAGCAATGGGCCCCGACAATTGTCACTAAAAAAGTTGAGTATTTAAATACTACCTATTTGAAGGTACCTCATGATTAGCCTGTCTTTGGCATCATTTATCTTCTTGCTGAACTGTGTTTGAGTTTTAGCACCATCAGCAATGTTTCTAGTCACTGTCAATTCCCTGGAGATAGTCCCAGTCTGTTTTTGTCTCTGTCTCTCTCCCCTAATCCAAACCTCTCTCTTCCTCTTAGGCCCCTTTCTTTCTATCATAACAGAAAATTTTGGAAGGAGTTTGACTCAAGCTTACTCAGCATCCTATGTTCCTGCTTCAAGCTTCCTCATTGTCAAGGAAAAAGCATGCCTCTCATTTCCAGTGTTAGCCTCACAGCTTAAGTTAATAATGTTGGTCCCTCAACTCTTAGGATCCTATCCTTTTCAGCATTTCAGGCTTTTGCTCATAATGGCCATTTCTGTCCTCATCTGTATATAGATTCATCTGGTCAACTCTTTCAAAAACTTTATCTTCTATGTGGGTCTGATTTTTCTATTTCTTTTATGTCTTTAAGATCTTATCCATCTGAACTCTTTGTATTGCTTCTTCTAGTAATCCAAGCAGTTTGATTTCTAAAAGCATCACTGTGAGAAATGCTCAGTGCAAGTGTATCAAGGTGTCTTCTTTCATGATATTCTGCATTATTTCCGCATTTCATTTTCCAGCCCATTTTTTACTTCATTTGATGCAATTTATGGATTCACAAAACTTCTCCTCCTATTATATTCATGACACAACACTATTATTCCTGTTGCCCTTGACTGGGGAATCTATTTGTTCTCTTCAGATGCTTTGTTCTTCCTTCTCATCCTTCAGAATTATACTTACCCACAACTTCCAATCGTGGTACCCATTAATTAAGCAACATTCCTTCCAATAACTATCCAGTTTATAATTTCCTGCCATAGACAGCCTCATTTCTGTGTCACATCTTCACTCATCTAGCTTAGCTTAATAGTCTTCCTTCCTTTGTGTTACACTAAACACAATGGACCCATGATTCAAGGTCAACAACAATCTGTTACATTCATTATGCCTTTGCCAAGCATGGAAAGGTATTCAAAGCCTTTGTCTAAAACAAGATTAGATTTGTACTCTTGACAAAATGGTGCATTTTTGTTAGTATTTGGTTATCTGAAATAGAAACAGAGTTATTTCACTAACTATTCATCTGAAAGCATGGATGCCAGTTTTTATTCCTTGCTACCTTGCAATGTGCAAGGTATACAAAAGTTGTTCAACCAATTTGCTCAATGGCTTAAGGTTAAACATTACTTAAAGAAGTAACAATGTGTGCATTGTGTCACAAAGGGAGACTTTTAAAAATCTTAATAAAGTACCTTTAAACAAGCAAATGAAAAGCAGACTTTTAAATGAATTTCTTGGGAGATTATAGGAGGCACTGTACCATTGATAAAGGAGGAGTTTCAGCTTTGAAGCTGATTGCCTGGGTTCAAATCCTTGTTCTCCCACCTAGTGAAAGTTTGGGAAATTTAACTAACATCCTTGCATGTTAATATCTCTCCACAAAACCAAGGGAGATAACAGGGACTGTTTCATGGAGCTATTATGAGATCAAGTAAGTTATGTCACATACTGAAAACAATTCTGCTATGTAGAAATTGCTCTAATAAATGTCAGTTATTACTAAATGTTTGTTACAAATTTAATGGTTGTGCCTCAGAGCTAAAAGAGCCTTCACTTTATAATTGAAGAGCTGAGGAATCAAAGTTATTAACTGGCTCAGAAATGCATAGCAAATCTAGAAGCTAAGAAAAAAACCATAGTTCTCTTGACCTATTTTCAATGGGATTTTTCTCCTTAAGGATTTCTATATCTGAACACAAACTAAGGGATGCTCAAGGGTATTCAGTTAACTCTCCCATAAGGGATCACACACTACATGATCATTTATCACAAACACTGCTTCTTTGCTGGGAACTCTATTTCACAGATTCTTAGTCACGGAAACGAGGTGGGTAGGGATTCTAACAGAACTTGTATCACAGCCCCAAGTAAAACTAAGAAACACATGAGCAACAGGACTAGATGCCAAGGTTGGATCCTCTGAGTTCAAATGAAGCCACTCAATGTGCATCTTCTGAAAAACAAAAATGTTCAGGGAAAACTTGGTCTGGAAGAGTCATTATAAAGTTGTGGTCCTGGCCATCCTGCCCATATGTGAATGCTCTGCAGATACGGAAAAGGCTTTTTCTGGGAAGAGCCCAAAAGTATGATTAACAGCCAAGGAAGCCACAGAAGCCAAGTACCCACACCAGGCATAATTTCTGATGGCTTTGGCTTTCTTTCTCATTGTCTGGAACAGTATCCAGCCTGGTTGTGCAATCAGGTACACCAGTGTTTTAAAATTCAATCATTCAATCTAGCAGATATAGGCTTTCAAGAGGAAGATGCTATTAACTAGGCACAAATAAACCTCTAAGAAAGAATTATCAGATAGAAAAAGATGCTGTTATCTGCCTCATCCTAACAAGGGAAGAGATTTAAGTTCTCTCTAATGCAAATTTAATCCTCATAAGTAGCAGGAGTAGTGGGAGAGAAGGCCACACACTATGTGTCCACAAAGAATTCTGACCACCTACTACCCCAACTACCAACAAGACTCAGAGAATCCACATTCTCACTGTGGGATTATTTTAAATAACCTCGTGGCAGTACACAGACTCTGAGCTTTATTGCTTGGAATTTTATTTCTCAAAACATGAAGCTTCCATAACATCAAATCAGAAAGTTAAATTACCATCTTTATGTTAAAGATGAGCCAGACACCCTTCAACGATGCTGCAGTGATGCACTGTTCCTCTGTGTTTTCAGTATTTTACATATTGTCTCTAAATTTACTGGTGACAGTGTCTTTTTATACTTTTGGTTGTGAGCTTAACCTTTAATAGCTGGGCCATGTCTCCAGCCCAACAGTCTCTTTTCATACCAGCTGTATGTGATGTCTGATTTGTAGACTATAAACTCCTAAGTAGAGACTCTGTATCTCATGTACCTCTGTATTCTTCCAAAGGCTTCTAGTGTCTCAGATGTACTATCTGCTCAGTAAACATGTTATTTAGTTTCAACTGTACATTCCCTGAGCATTTCTCACTTGAAAAGTGTGACTTCTTAGGGTGGAATGTCTTTTCTTTCATTTCTGGGATATCTCTTATTTTTGAAACATTATCTTTAAAAAATATCGAAGCAAATCAGCACTTTGATTTTGGAGTGCTGCTTCTTTACTATGTATGTAGTTTCTAGCAAATATTACTGAATATTATTGTTAGGGAAATTTGCAGCGTTTCAGTTGAAGTGGACCAAGCATCTCCTTACACGGAGGAAAAGAGAAAGCCCAGAGGTGTATCAAGAGGTTAATCTGGAAAGACTATTACGGTGCCTATAAAAACCATGCAGTACCCAATAAGTATGCCAAGTTAGTTCCTTAATGGTTTTTCTGAGAAATTAGCAGGTTTAATGTTTATGAAATATTTAGAACATGTCCATTAGGCCCATATACAAAATTGGATGAATGATTTACAATGTTTAATCTAAAATAAAAATAAAGAGCCCGTTTTGCCAAGATAAAAATTTCAAGACAGCAACAGCAGAGCAGTTAGTGAAACGAGCCTTTCTAAGCAAATTACCTCCATGTCTGCACCGGTCTCACACCTATGAAGCCAGACCTGTCCTTCCTCGAAGAGCTGCTGTACAGTGGGAGGCAAAAAGCCTGTGACTAGACAGAAGCAAAACTCAAGTGCATACAACGTCTTACGTTCTTTCATTTGCATTTTTTTTTCTTGTTTGTTTTTCGAGTCAGGGTTTCTCTGTATTGGGACTCGAACTCACAGAGATCTGCTTGCGTCTTCCTCCTAAGTGCTGGGATTAAAAGCGTGTGCCACCAACGCCCGGCTTGTCTATGCTTTCCAGCATGTATAGATGTGTACCACGTGAATGCCGAGTGCTCATATAGGACACAAGAGGGCCTCGGATCTCCTGGGCCTGGAGTTACATGGACTGCAAGTACCAAGTGGGTGCTGGGAACCAACCTAAGTCTTCAAGAGTCACAAGTACATTTACAGAGCCAGTTTTCCAGCCCCACTAAACTTAGTTTATGGAGAGCAGCTGGAGAAAAAAGCTATTCTAGATTAAAGGAGTAGCACTGTGAGCAAGTAGGAGTCCTCTGTTAAACTTTAGAACAGGGTTAATTTTTAATGAGGTCGAATCACGTTCACATAGGAATAGCAACCGAAATTGGGACTGGAATGGCAGGCAATGGCCCATCATAAAGACTGAACACTACAAGGGTCTACCCTGTACCAATGCCATCTAAAACTATATTTGTGTGAACACTTTATAGATTTAGGTGTACCATAGTGATGTCAGCAGTAATGCTGCATGCCATAAATACTTGGAGGACGTCTAGCAGGTCTGCTTCCCATAAGGCACAGTCCTTTTAGCTCCTAGTGTGGTTAATTTTCTTCCAAAGCCTGGTGCTGTCTTTTCTGCCTCCGTCCAAAGCCAGGAGCAGTCCCTCCCCC